TTCCCGACCGGAGAACCAACTCATCGAGAAAACGAGAGCAGCAGGGGTCCACGGTTCCCAATCGGTGAATCTACCTATCGAGAAAACGAGAGCAGGAGAGGTCCACGGTTCCCAACAGGAGAGGCAACTTATCGAGAAAACAAAAATTTCACCTTCGAACGGCCCGAAAGCCAACCATTCCGACCACCACAAGAGTTTCGCCGTGGACAAGCGTCAAATAACGGAGCCAACTTTAATAAACCCCGCGGAGGTCAGGTTCAAAATCGTCGAAAGCCCGTACGAAAAATGCGCTCGGATGACCAGAATGAGCATGATAAGCCCTTAAGAGGTGAGTTTTCCCTCCTTTCCTTTGTTACTTCGATATCACTCACTCAGTTGTTCAGAGAGCCTCATGAATCAGCTGGAAAGCAACCGTTATGAGTGCGCTATATGTTGCCAAATAATTCATGCCAGACAGGTAAGGTTTATATGCCATTTAAAGATGAATTTGCTGTGGATCTTTTTTTTATATGGGAAGAAGAATTGGGTAGAAGACAAAACAGCAGGGAGGAACAGGGGCGTTACAGTACCCCGAGAGTTGCGTGTGAACTTTAATATGTCGGCTAGGTGAGTGCACGCACTGGGATATAGCCGATTCCGGTTGAGCGGGTTTCGTTACCTAAGCTTGTTAGCCTGTGTTGTGACTTTTGCGCGCGCGCAGGAGTCCGTATCAATGATGGAGGGGGGGGGTGGTGGGGTCGAGGCTCCGGGGTGAGGTCAAGAAGCGGGTTCCCGAGCTAACGCTAATCTTTCCACGTATAGCCAGGCGAGCCTAGACGAAGACTGAGTTGTTCTGTGTGCACAAACTGCTGCCACGCACTCGGTTTTACGCTTTCGGGTACTGTTTCTCCCTGTTTTTCTAGACTCGATGTAGTGGTTGGGGTTATTTTGGAGGATCCTTGCTTTCTTTACTTTGTCCTCCTAGCAGTTTGCTAGGTGTCCGCTTCGTTATTACTCGTACGAGAGGACCTGTACTGGCGCAATTCGGCTTGGAGGGAGCATAGCGAAGCTGCTTCAGGCAACCCTGTGAGGGCTTGCAAATTCCTGTTACCAGAGTGGCTCACTTATATCATTGCGCAGCTTCACAGGAGCTTACTGGTCTTACCAAAGTGTAAAGCGTTCAATCAACATGAGTCAATAAATGGAAGTAGCGAAAGTGCAAAGTGCCCCTTTCAAGCCGAGCGCCGAATCACTGCTTATTTCAGGGTATCTGGTCCTGTAAGACATGCTATCATATGTTCCATATTTCTGGTGGTTGTATAATCAACTGGGCTAAGAAAAGCAAGGAGGACGACAACAAGTTAGTTTTTATTGATTTCGAGGATTAGGCAGCGTTCAGACTTCGCGACGGCAGCGCTTCGGTCGCGCGTTCGACGCGATCGATGCAGTCGAAAGCATGCGCATCGATCGTCGAATCGCGCGACCGGAGCGCTGCCGTCGCGAAGTCTGAACGCTGTCTTACTTCTGCTCAAAGTCTTGTGCCCATTTTTGACGATGAGGAGGTAGTTGAAGGGGAAATTGTTGCGTGACAGCGAGGACTTATGGTGGGGATCCTGTCGCAAAAGTCTAGAGCGAAGAGAAATGTAGGACAGTAGCCAAAGCATCGAAAGGGCAAAAAAAAAACGCCCCGACGAGATTTTTAAGGCAAAGGGACTCCGAGGTGAATGAGCTTCATATCATGCGTGAAAGCTGGTATGTGTAAAGTATTATGGTCACATTATGTCATGCAGACGTGAGAGCACAGAGAAAAAAAGAAACTTGACGCTATTAAAGGGATTAAGTTGAAGTTACTCAGTTGAGGGGGGAATGTGGCGATATGACTGATCGACACGTTTTCTGCTCGTCTGAGCTCTCCACCAAGATGATTCTCATGCATCCGTTAGCCTAACAGGTTCCGTCAGAAAGAGCGATGGAGAACAGAATGTGCGACTGTGCCTCTCCAGGTGCTGGCACCTCAGCTATTGCACCTTAGCGTTTCTTTCTTGCTTGTACTTTGCAGTAGTTCGAATAGTAGCTCTTCTCCCACTTTCGTGATGGAGTTATTGGTTTTTAGGTGGAGATGTCCTACCTGCCAAACGAAATATGAAACAATTCCATACAATTACTTCTGCTTCTGTGGTAAACAGCGGAATCCAACTGTTACCATGTAAGTTCTTATGTTTGCTTCGGCGCTGTTCGGCTTGGAGGGTCACTTTTCACTTTCGCTAGTCTGTTTTGTTAGTTCGTGTTCAGTAGCAGGTCTCTTCGGTGTAATCTGTAGCTCTTGTGAAGCTACGAAGTGGTGCGAATGAGCCGCTTTGGTCACAAGAATTTGCAGGTCTATCGAGGTTCCCTGTTCTCAGCTGAGTACCATTTGATGCCCCACCAAGCGGAACTGCGTCTTTTCCTCTACTTCCTCTTCGACTTTGAGATTAATCGAAGATGGAATTAGAAGCGAGTGCTATGGTTTGATTGCTGAAATGCATTGCAGGGGCGAAATACCTCATTCTTGTGGCAACGTCTGTGGTGGCCAACGTGCTCCAGGTTGCCCTCATCGCTGTAATGAACCCTGTCATCCGGGACCGTGTCCAGAATGTCCGGTAATGCTTACTCGTCGATGCAATTGTGGTAACATACAAAAGGCTGTTCGCTGTGGTACAATTGCTGAAGTAAAGGTTCGTTTTCTTAGTGGAAACAGTTAAGGGCACACCGCGCGTTCATAAATGGTGACTTGTGCAGCTCGAACGTTAACGACAAGATGGTCAGCAACACGAAAATAAAGAAAAAAAATCAAAACAAATTTGCCTGAATTGTCTCATATAGAGCTTCATGCGCGCGCATTTTGCGAACAATGGGCGTGGTCGGAGCAGTTTTCACTGCTTGGTATCAACTCTTTTCCCTTTATACCTCTCACTATCTTAAAGGAGAAAGAGCTGATAGTGGAACACTTGCTCCACCAGAAAGCCTTCAGAAGTGAAAGTTGGGTGTTTGGCTCGCAGTGAGCACCTAACGTCCTTGTAAAGTATTTTTGAGCTGAGAAAGTAAACCCCGCTTTTGTGGACATAATGTCATGCCCAAAGAGTGCATCCGAATTCCGGAGCGCGGAGTGTGCCTTTAATAGAAAGCTTAGTTCCTTTATAGAATGGAGTACTTGAAAATTGTAGTGCGACAAGGTCTGTGATCGATTGCTTGCCTGTGGTGATCACCGCTGTAAAGGAGTTTGCCACGAAGGTGATTGTGAGCCATGCGAAGTGGTAATCAAACAAAGTAGGTTTAAAAGTACCCATTTCATGGGTTTT